ATCAAACTGCAGTGCTGTACAGTCTGCCCCAATCCTAACCAGGCCAAAATTGGCTTGGCGGGAGTGCGCGTCGCGAGGGTTTCGCGCCACTTCTGCGTCTAGCTAGTCTGCTCTCTCCTCAATCTCTTCGCTCTCTGCGACAGCGCGCGTATGCAGCGCAAACCCCTAGCGCTGCGAGCGCGCAAATTCAGCCGACGGTTCGGCCTGATCCCGATTGGGGCAGATTGTACAGAATTCTGATGCGACGTGAACGGAATCCTGGTTTCGAGTTACAATATTATTGGACACGAGGAATTCATCAACAAGCAAGGAGTATTCTGAGATTTCATGCTGATGGGATCCTTAGACAATTGTAACAATTTTCCTCAGTCTTTCAGCTGAACTGACTTTAGAAAAATGACATGTAGGCGTCCTGAACAAAAAAGACGATGGACTCCTTTGGAAGTTTAAGACTTCTCAAAGTGTTTTCAATATGAATCGTATAAATTTAAGGTAGTAAGCTCAGGCATTCTGGAGCAGCTAAATTCAAAAATTTTCAGATTGCAAATTTCAAGATTTTCTCCCTTCCCTCTTCCGCAAAAATCTATCCGTACCCAGCAAAAACGAATTTCGACTATTATCGAGTGTTGGTGTTTAGTACCCATTAATCTGGCAAACCAGATTCTTTTATTTAAAAATCCTATACCTTATGCAGCGATCCAGAAACCCAGATAGAAAACGATCAACCGGCTCCCGAGTCACCATTATAAATTTCCATGCAGAAAGATCCGTGATATTCAAATGTATTATCATCCCTTCCACGTCTCCGTGTCTATTCTTCTTCTCACAAAAGCTGTAAAGTCGGTAATTTCCATTTGTGTGAATAAATTTTGCTCAACTACAGTGTCGCAATTACAGCAGCTTGCGTCATCGTGACCGTCTCGAACGTCTATAACAGAAACCTACTCAATATCGTCTAATTCACTGAGTATACTGCGTCCGTGACTGATAAATTCCTTTTCACGAAAAAGATAACACATAATTGCCGACATCACTGTGGACATACTTTTCTGGATCAAGCATGCCATTAAGTTGTATTTGGGAGCCGCCTGCAATATAGCAAGCTTGATCATGAACTGGAAATCATCATTCTTTCATGGAACGAGAACGATGGCGTAATGATTTTGGTAGAGTATCTCAACATACCACAAGGAATGGGAATATCCTGGCGTAACGTTGCACGCAATTGCCGGCGCCAGATCGACACATCCTATATGCGGTTTTACCGGAAAACTTTCGCGGCGGTAATTTCTGTAAATCAAAGTTATTTGCACTACGTCAGAAGCAAGTCTGTTTAGGAACCATGCACGAGTGCACAAACCGCACACATTCCTTGCTTCCTCGTGCTAGGATCCACATCAACAGCACCAACATTTAGAGTGTGAGGGATGAGTTTTGGTGTAATATAATAGTTCAGAAGCTCCTAGATTTTGAGCAACTCGTACGTATGGTTGAAATAAAGGTGGTGGGGAAGTTAACAACCCCATTTCCCGCCCAACAGAAGCTCCGCCTTTTGCGCTTCAATCGCAGAAAGAGAGTCAGGTAATGCCGAATACAGGTCCCAACACGATACAGCTAGTGACGTAGCCCAAGTGTAAGGGACCCGTCATGCTTCGCCGAAAAAAGCCGTAAAAAGTCCAAAAAAGCCGAAAAAAGCTCGAAAAAGCCCAAAAAACCGAAAAAAGCCCAAAAAGCAGAAAAAGCCAGAAAGAGCCGGGACGCCCCTTGCGTTTTGACGCTAAGGCATGTGTGTTGATTTCGCAACCGAGTCTTTTTGCATCATTTTCTGCCGTCTGCACATCAAATTAATGTCAGAATTTTGCCAAAAGTTCGTTCCTGCGTTCCGGCTCCTTCGGGCTTTTTCAGGCTTTTTTGGGCTTTTTCGGCTTCTTTCGGCGAAGTATGACGGGTCCCTAAGACGCGCTTGGAGTCACATGCGTTTTGCGCAAATTATCGCCTGTGGGCCCCTAAATTTTTGTCACCTACATGAGAATTATTGACTTTAACGTTATCAATGTGATCGAGTTTCATTTCAGCCTCTTTCTTGATCAGGTCTTGCTTCCGATAGCTTTCTTCGATTTTCATCAACTCCTCCTTAGAAAGTCTCTGAAAACTCCGAGTGTGCTATTTAAATTGATCAATAAATCGACAATTACTCACTGTAGGAATAGATGACTCGTCGTTTTTCAGAATGACAAAAATTAGGACAACTGTCACGATAGTCGCGCTTGCCAGTAGATATTTTCGCCTTTCTGGTAATCTGCCGCTGGAATAAGTTGATTGTTTCAAACTTTCTTAAGCAGAATGTACTACTAGTAGAACATAAATGACATTCTGCTTAAAATGAAGTGTGGTATGAATGTGTGAACAAAATGTGAAATTCATAAGCAACATGTACAAGAAAACTAACCTTCTCAAGAATGGACGAGTTGCTGCGGTTTCATAGTTAGCAGTGCCGCAGTCATCATCGTTAGATTCCGACAGCGACGCATATCTGGAATGATTGGTTTTTGAGAAATATGATAATCAAATACAAGCCGAAGTTATGCAAAAAATAAATAATCCATTTTTTTGGTTGCTTGCTTAGTCACATTTAGAGTTTCTTATAGGGAACTTGTGAAAAAAAAAATTCAAAGAATACATGATACTCCTTGGTATTCTTGAAGAAACGTTGACAATATTATACAAAGTCAAAAATTCCTTGTCGTATAAAAAGCTTACCTCATTCTTCGGTCACTCGAAGCGAATGAAGGCTTTATCCAGTATATTCTCACTTTCACATAGTCACCGTTCGAGATTCGGTATAGATAGATGTCGGAAAGATGAGATCAGCAGATTTGGAGGCGCGCACAATCTCCGCAACTCAAGTTTTCTGTTGGAGAACATTCAGTACTAATCATTAGTTAGGAGAAACTGATACCTTCTAGCTATGTTATGAGAAGTTTTGCGGAATAAAATAACAGATGACAGGTTTTATTGAAGTCTGCCTTTAACACACAGCTCCAAAGATAAAACATTTTTCCTTGCCTACTCGAAAACTATTTTCTTCTATTTCATATATGTTCTCATTGGCATAGAGCTTTCATTGTGTGGTGCAGTACCTTAAATGGCAAAAAACGAAAGTATTCAAAAACATGTATTAGGTGGGTCCGAAAGTTTTGTCAGTTTTTTCAATCCACCGGCAAACACGCTAGAATGAAGATAAACAAACGCCTCAAAATGTGTCCGATGCAGAATTTCTTCCTCTTTCCAGCTGCTAAAGTGCATTCTGTTTCGTTGCGAGAGTGACGAGATATTTGCTGGAAATTACAACCACTCGTTTTTACCACGTCCAACTTTCGCTAATTTTCAAAATTTTTGTATGAGACTTTCGGAGGAGCCCCAATAACTACCAGATAGGGCAAACCTTTTGCCAACAAAAGCAATTTTTGTAGCCCTACGGCTTGTCTTTCAGAGTTTCTACGATCTATTTTTTGAAGTGACCAAATTTTACATTCAGCTTATTTTAACCTCGTAGAACATAAACTGTTGAACAGCTCAGTCACCATTCGATGCAAATTTTTCTCCTCTTTCTAATACTTGTCTTTTTTTGCCGAGGCAGGCGAAATTTGTGGGGAAAATCGCAGTATTTCTCAATTTCTGGAGTGCGCACTGACGTAACCTATGTTTCAACATCTTCATAATTTGAAGCGAAAATCGTCATTCACTTTGTATTGGTAGCAGTAGTAATATTCGTGTGTTAATACCTCAGTTTTCCGTAGGTTTTGCAGTGTTTGGTGCAATAACAGGTCATGCGATTTTTCCAAAACACAAGACTTTTAAAAAATTATTTAGCAAAAATCTGAAAAAGCAGCTGGAAAAAAGAAAAAAGTTGCTTCTGTTGGCAAAGGGTTTGCCCTATCTCTTGGTTAATGGGGCTCCTCCGAAAGTCTCATACAAAAATTTTGAAAATTAGAGAAATTTGGACATGGTAAAAACGAGTGGTTGCAATTTCCAGTAAATATCTCGTCACTCTCGCAACGAAACACAATATGGGTTTGGCAGCTGGAAAGAAGAGGAAATTCTGCATCGGATACATTTTGAATCTTTTGTTTATCTTCATTATACGCGTTTGCCGGTGGATTGAAAAAACTGACATTACTTTCGGACCCACCTAATATTTCACCGAGAAATTTTTTGATTGTCGGCTCAAAAAAAAATCAAAAAAGTTCAAGAAATGCTTTTTATCTTGGAATAAGCAAACCAAGTAAGTTCTTCTGAATTTTTTTGCAGAAATTTTTTGCGGAGGAGTCTTGTACAATTTGAAATTTCCATTACTGCACAGATGGCAATTGAATACATAATGAGCAGAGTCCAATTTACTACATTTCAGAACAGTTTCTCAAAGTAGAGGATCCGAAAGAAAATGTTTACGACTTTCGGTCAAAATCCTTCTCATCTCGCCGCAAAAATTATGAAGTATGTGTAGTGCTACCGAGGATCTTATAGAATGTAACCATCCATGCTTCGAAACATTGCTAAAAAATTGTGGAATTTGAAGTTGAATCAAAGGGTTGAACTTTTGAAACAACCCCATTGAAGATTACGTCAAATCTTGTTAGCAATTTTGAGGATATGTCAAGCACGTTCAACATGTTATCGTTATCATGTCGTATATCAAGCCGGAAAATGAAATTATATTTTTCTCTCAGCCACGGCGGTAGCCAGATTGTTTTCACCCGCTTCTGGAACACATTTTTGTGCCCTTTTCCTTAATGTACATTTGGTAGTCAGACCCAACTTCGCCATTCTCCGCGCTTCTCGCTTTTTTGTTGTTGTTTTTTGCGCCTACTTTTTGGAATCCCTAGATGTTTTGCAGCTGAACATCTCATTACTTGTGAAAACTGTGCGGCCAAATTTTTTGCAGCTTTAGAAATCATGCCTTGTTGGTTTTTTCCTATTGTATTCACTGTCATTCTCACAGGAAATTCATCTTATTTCAATGTCAATTCGATCGGCGTTTCTTGTACTTTAGACGGCTTTCTATGTCTGACGAGTCTGACGAATACATCGAGTCAGGAACTCCGGAGCTGGAAGTCACTTTCGATGGCGGCGAAAAGGTCAGACTTTGTGACTGAGATTTTTTTGAGGATAGCTTGAAAGTTGGGTTAAACAAGAACTCAATAACAACCGCGAGCATATGATAATATTTCAGAATTAGTTGAGATGATGAACACACAAAATCCTTTCGACACTCAAACATCATTCTATTTTAACTTGGTAAAAGGGCTGGGTTTGTAAGTACAACATGATAGGCGAATATTGGAGATTTATAGTAACCACCGCCAACAAGATTTACTTACATCTTGAATTTGTTTACGATGAAACATCTCCCTATGACTTACTTCAAGTGTTATAGCACAGCACGTTGTTCCGTTTGCATGGCCCACTTGTAACAACATCGTAATCAATCCGCATTCTTCCAAAAAGTTCAGGTTTCCCTTGGAAACGAACTATCTCCTTCATTTACATCTTCTGAACCGACGCTAAACTGGGACGCGTCCCCTGGACAACGTTATACCGTCATTATGGTAGGTAAGTAGGTTTCATCCAAAACGAATAAACACATGCATTGAGAGTACAACTGGATTTCTGAATTCTTAACGTCAAAGGAGAATAAAACACATAAGTTGGAACATGAGGTCTTGGTCTCTCTACACGTATGTTCGCTAGAGCATGCGTTATCAACATACTTCGATTTTTTGACTTTGTTGTTACGCTCTCAAAGCTTACAGCCTTGATTTTGTCAATTGCTCACAAGCTTGCGCAGTAATACAGTACAATAATATAGTTTGTCCACTTTCTTGATGTGTGCATTATTTTCCGTTGAGCTTGTAACTAAAACATAGGCTTAACTTTTTTAAGCGCGGAAGGCATTTATTTCCTCCCAACTTTGGTTGAAAACTTCTCAGTGAGTATCAGGAGTCATCTTTATAGGTGATCACAAGTCTGTTTGTCAATCCCCCTGGGTGTATGTCAAGAGGCGCGATTCTTATTGCCGGATGGGCAGCTTATGGCACATAGGTTCATTGACCGCCAAAAAGTTGCGGACAAGTCGCCTTCCTTCTTTCATCGCTCATTTTCGGATAGAAAACAAAGATGAGAAAATGGTAGGATTCCATGGGGTGGTAGAGCTCTTCAAGAGCTACAATATTCACGTGCGCTTTCTGGATAACATGTATCCCGAAAATCGTAAAAATCTTTTTTTTAAGAAAGGTCCGAAAAAGGACGCGTCACAATGTCGTGGAAATAAACTGCGAAAATTTTCTTTCAGGCCTTTTTTGGACCAAAAACAAAAGTTTTCTCGACAGGTAAGCATGCTATATTGTAGAACTCATCGAGGACAATAATCGGATGGTGGTTACTTCCAAAAAAACCCAAGCTTGAATTTTATTTTGCTTCTTTTCAAAAAATAACTTCTAGTTCCCTGCTTCAAGCCAAATTTCTTCATATGGAAACCCATTCAAAGTATTCCAACAAAGCTATTCGGATAAAATGGATGCCCTTTGCCATCTTCTATGCATCGGACGTGTGCTGGTAAGTTTCTTTGCTGAAAATGGCTTTGGACAGTGCGTGCACATGACCCACCTGCACCTCTACTGACTTGCACCACTTTGCAGGCTTGTAGCTCGGCCAACAGTCACTCTACGAGCTCGTTTGTAGGCTCATTCGAAAGAGCATGACTTCCTGGACACGACGGTATGCAAAAGAGTTGGGTATGGGAAACAGCGGAGATTTGGCGAATGGGGGTGAAGAAGCGCAGCTTCAGCGGTGGGCTAAAATTTTCCAGCTAAAGCTGAACAGAGCTTCTTTCGCTACAAGTTCCATCCTGGAAGTTGAAAACTGTCAATCTCCTTGTAATAGATCCATTTCGAAGCTTTAACACTGTTCTGGTGTTGGCCACTAGCCTCCACTCGAATCACCTCTAACGCTGCGCTTCTTCACCCCCATTCGCCAAATCTCCGCTGTTTCTCATACCCAACTCTTTTGCATACCTTCGTGTCCAGGAAGTCACGCTCTTTCGAATGAGCCTAAAAACGAGCTTGTAGATTGACTGTTAGCAGAGCTACAATCCTGCAAAGTGGTGCAAGTCAGTAGTGAGGTGCAGGTGGGATCATGTGCACGCACTGTCCAAAGCCATTTTCAGCAAAGAAACTTACCAGCACACGTCCGATGCATAGAAGATGGCCAATGGCATCCATTTTATCCGAATAGCTTTGTTGGAATACCTTGAATGGGTTTCCATATGAAGAAATTTGGCTTGAAGCAGGGAATTAGAAGTTAATTTTTGAAAAGAAGCAAAATAAATTTCAAGCTTGGGTTTTTTTTTTGGAAGTAACCACTATCCGATTATTGTTTGTCCTCGATGAGTTCTACAATATAGCATGCTTACCAGTCGAAAAGACTTTTGTTTTTGCTCCAAAAAAGGCCTGAAAGAAAATTTTCGCGTTCGAAGAATTATTTCCACGACATTGTGACGCGTCCATTTTCGGACCTTTCTTAAAAAAAGATTTTCACAATTTTTAGGATACATGTTTTCCAGAAAGCGAACGTTAAGGTTGTAGCTCTTGAAGAGCTCTATCACCTCATGCAATCCTACCATTTTTTCATCTTTGTTTTCTATCTGAAAATGAGCGATGAAAAAAGGAAGGCGACTTGTCCGCAACTTTTTGGCGGTCACTGTAATTAGTGTTTTGGAAGTTTTCGCTCTCTTAAATAAGGTGCTTGTTATTTTCTAATCCACTATAATGCGTAGAAGTCATAGTTTACTTCGGAAGAACATGGCAGATGAAAGCTTCAAATCGAGATCAGCGCCTAACAGTCATCACATTTCAGACTGATTGAATTCTCTTCCTTAGATCCTGACGCGCCATCTCGTAAGAGACCGTCGCTTCGCGATTATCTGCACTGGATGGTAGTAGACGTTCACGGAAGTGATGTGGAACACGGCAAGGAGCTTGTGTCGTACATGGGACCAGCTCCACCCTCAGGAACAGGTACTGTGGCGACAATTTGTCGCAATTCAGCACAACGTTCTGGATTTATTGCAGGTTTGCATCGTTACTACTTCCTCGTCTATAAACAGACAAAATCGGTTAGGTTCAAAAAGAAAGGCAGAGCTAAGTAAATTTTCGTGCATCAAGCGACTGACTCTATTCTACCGTTATTATAGCTTCGACACCCACGAGTTTCTCAAGGAAAACGGTTTGGGCCGCCCAGCAGCGGGAAACTATTTCCAGGTGAACTCTTCTCGGATTTGTGCTTATTGTTAGCGCAAGAAAGTCACTCTTCAACCTTATTGTTGCGAGGAGTCATAGTCGTTACTTCATAACTCAAAGCTCCGTTGCGGCTCCGCGATGAGTGCTCTTAGAAGTATACTTAGAACCGAATATTCGTGTTCGAATAATTTATTCGAAATATTCGACTATTCGAATATTCGAATAGTCGAATATTCGAGACAGTCCAATTATTCGATTATTCAAATCTATGACTTAATAATAACGGGCTAAGGGTTGTTTACGTCTGTTTGTCTGTGTGTCTGTGTGTACGTCTGTCTGTCACGAAATTCATACAGCGAGTTCCAGCAAATGTCTTGAGCTGAAGTTTTGGTCATAGCACCTTGCCAGCATCTAGGCCCATCATGCAAAATTTCGTACGGATCCGTTGCGTTGATGTTACAAAAATTGTGCGTCAAGCGGATCCACACGGCTCTAAGCAGGCAAAACTGAGTCCAGATTTGAATTTTTTGCAAAGCCATGATTTGCCTGACAAGTAAATCTGCGCCTCATGAATTTTAACCTAAAAAGGGCTCAAAAAGTTTGCTTTTCTGCGAAAACAGCGCCAAAAAGTGGTGATCGCGTAGATAGTCGATTTGGCAAGGCTGTAAATTCAAATTTGAAAAGATTTTTGCACGGAAATGTAGCCCAAAGTGACTACTATCCTTATGACGACTACTAAGCCAAAATAAATTCGATAATTCATTCGAATTCGCAGGTTTTCCTTCGCGAAAAAGATTTCTTTCTCAAAATTACCGATATTACGTGGAGATGCTTTAAGAATGAGCAGTTGTTTACAATTCATTTGTGATGTTCAGCATCGCGCGGTAAGTTTCAAATCATAATTATGCGAACATGAGAAAGGCATACGGATAGGAGTGCCAGTGCGAACCTCCGCGAAGCGGAGGTGATGCACTGGTAGTCGAATAAATGAAAAAGGCCTGTATTCGAATAATTCGTTCATTCGATGATTTGGAAAAATGAGTTATTCGAATATTTGTTTATTCGAGGAATTTTAAAAGACGGTTATTCGAATATTCGAATATTCGAGCCAACTTGAAAGACAGTCATTCGAATATTCGAATATTTAAGAGCATTCATTCGAACATTCGATGTCAAAAGAAAACTTTAGCTGTTCTACGCTGAGTACAAGTATGTCCCCGATCGGTCAATCACACAAATGAATCATCAAATGACAGAATGGCTAGCAAGCTTCCCTTTTCAAGGCATGAGTCGCGAGTCATGCCAGAGCATAGTGATGACAAGCCTTATGCATGACTCATTTGGATTGGTGAACTATCTTCTGGAAATCGCGTCTGAGAGTTAATACACGTAATCACGCGCAGATACCTCCATGCTCTAAATTGGGTGAAGAAGGAAAGCCATCATTGGGCGCCCTTTAGCGCACCACTGGTCCTCAAACAGCTTGCATAAGCATGTGAAGGACCAGCAGTCCTTTAAGGCAGCAGGTATAGGCAACATTCTATCCTTCATCTCGAGGTCTTCATTTGCCTTGTCAGCCTAATCACCGCTCGCGTGTCAAAATACTTTGAAGATACGTTACAACGCAAGGCTAGAGCAAGGCGGTCGTGGGGACCTGAGCCGCTCAAAGTATTATTCCTCTACGAACTTTGCATTATTGCAAAGTTCGTAGAGGAATAATACTCCGAGTAGGCGTGTAGGTTAAACAATAATTATTTTGAACCTGAGTAAAAGATATGGAGGATCCCTTACAACAAAAGTACAAACCTCAAAAATACAACTAAACAGCTTTGTGAGAATTCCTAAATTCCTACAGCAGAAACTGTGAAACTCGGGGATTGATAATCCCCGACAAGTATTAGATTATCAGCTAATATGCATGTTTCCACGAGTTTCCTTTTTCGGATTTCGATGAGCACAGAAGTATTAGATTGTACTGGAAGTTTTGTCCGTTTTTTATCATCGCTCACTAGAACTCAGAGAACACCGATCCATGATCAGCTTAGGTACGATTTAATACAGATTTTTATCTTTTTTCTTACAGCTGTATTTGCTCTCTGATCTACTCTGTCTTTGCAGTGTTAAAACCAGCTTCCTGAGCAGCTCAGAAGTAACGCCAAATTTTTACTGACAAGGGAAGCGTCAGGACTCGCAGTGGAGTTTTCCAACGAAATGTATATAGGTTTGTAGGTCCTGGCACGCAACTTACAAAACAGCCTTCCGTATCTGCCAATCGGTCCTCCGGGCCGAGATATAAGCGTTTGAATTTCGCGAGATCGCGCGTCAACACAAGTACGCGCGAGCTACCTCAACATTGCATGGTGGCGTAGCGCAGTGGCAAGAGGTCGGGTTCATGATCCTTGAGGTCCAGGTTCGAATCCTTTCCTCGGCAGCACTTTTGCATTCACTTATTTTTGTATTCGATGATAAGCTGAACGTTCTAGCATCATCACTAACAAATTTTATTGCAAAAATACAGTAGCCTACTGGTACTTCAAGCGGTTTTATGGTGATGTACACATATGATAACTTACAATAAAATGTTGAAAACAAATGAGGTGCTCGCAATAGGCACAGCGAATAAAGTGCTCTTCCTCACAATTACTTATTTGGCAAGTCCCTACAAGATCGGATGGGAAGCAGTATTGCACAGGAGTAAGGAAGGCTCCAGGATGCTCATCGATATAACCTGCTGCGTGCCACGAATACGATAAAAAGTTTTTAAAACGGGGGGCACAAAACTGATGATAGACGAGGGACAGCATGCAAAGGATCGAATCGCGAGCGTCTACTCGGTAATCTATCTCATGGGCCGCTATGTAGGAGCCAATACGTTTATACATACATTTAAAGGGCATGAAAAAGTAAACATCCAAAGGCTGAATTTGGGATGTTGCGCCAGCGGGTATATTCATGATTTTTATCTGCTTGTCATGCGGCAAAGCAGACCTCATAGCAGAATGATCTTTAAATGCGTTCCAAGAATCTACAATAAGAAGTGTAGACGCGGGAGAATCAGTGGACCCTACACACGACTGCATCCAATCCAATAAGAGGGTTTTGTTCATAATATGTGTTGTATTGGAACGGACTTCAAGGTTGTGCGTTTGAAAGAATCCTCTTTGGGGAAACGTGCCATGCGGTTCCTATTACAGATAGTAAATCAAAAATTTCAATACCTAATGCGGATAAAATTTCAAACCTGAAGCACAACAAATAGTTTCTTCCCAAGATGCCCATCAGCGTAAATGATGGGCATCATTGTGAAGGAATGTTGGGTAGCGGCTTTTGATTGTACGACGCGCTCCACCTTCTTTACTCCTTTTAGGGCCAAAGTACGAGCACTGTGCATCTCTTTCAAGAAGCCACTTTGGTCCGCGTTACAGACCAAAGCGAGGGGCCAGGCTTCCATTTCTGCATCACAATGTTTGATTCCAACAGCTATGTTACCAAAAAAATTTGCATTTTACCTTTTTTCACTTCCGATACAAATGCTTGCGCTCTGGCGGCAGTTTCGGGGGCTTCCAAAAATCTCCTTCTCGATGAAAATGTGGTTATTCTTCTGGAGACAATCCCGCAACTCCTTTTGAATCTATCTATCCAAGAACCGCTTGCTATGAAATCCTCAATAAGAAACTCCTCTCTGTTCAGTTTGAGGGCTAGCTGACGTATGTCAGAGTCGTGTAAAATTATGCCCTTATTAAACTTTGAGAAGACCACTTCACGTAACTTCTCTGCTAGTGCACGTAGCTGAAGCAATCTGTCGGCGCGAACTCTACCTGACGTGTACAGCTTTTTTGAATATCAAATTAAATTTTTTTAATAACTGCAGCTCACCTTCCTGCTCAAACTGCCTCAATTTTCTTAAGTGATACGGGCTGGTAATGAATCGAAACATTCTATTCATACACGACAGTGACCGATATCCTTGTTCCGAGGATCGGTAGAATTGTATAGCTTTTTGCACCTATACAGTACTTAAGACTAATAAAAAATAATTTAACTCAAGTCAGACACACCGTTTCCTCTTGCACCTCTACATTTCCAAATTTGACGGAACCTTTTCCCTTGGTTTGCTCTTTGTCGTCATCCCCGGCAGACCAAAGAGGGTCTATTTCAATATTCTCCATGGCCATCTCTTCATCTGATTCAACTTCCACGCTCTCGTGCAGCGCTTCACGCAAGATAGACATGAAGCCATCTATAATCTTCCTTTCCTTCCGATTCGGTGCACGTGCCGGTTCCGAACATCCAAACTCCTTGGCAAGATAAGAAACTACCAGCTCAGGTGAGAACATGATATAGACTACTACGCTTTGGGATGTGCTAACTTGTGCTACTGCTTGTATTAAAGATAGTACTTTTGTTTCAATCACTGCAAGTTTCGAACGTACCGCTGTCTAATTCCAAAATAGACTATAGTAGCTTACTTTTGCAATAAATTTTGTTAGTGATGATGCTAGAACGTTCAGCTTATCATCGAATACAAAAATAAGTGAATGCAAAAGTGCTGCCGAGGAAAGGATTCGAACCTGGACCTCAAGGATCATGAACCCGACCTCTTGCCACTGCGCTACGCCACCATGCAATGTTGAGGTAGCTCGCGCGTACTTGTGTTGACGCGCGATCTCGCGAAATTCAAACGCTTATATCTCGGCCCGGAGGACCGATTGGCAGATACGGAAGGCTGTTTTGTAAGTTGCGTGCCAGGACCTACAAACCTATATACATTTCGTTGGAAAACTCCACTGCGAGTCCTGACGCTTCCCTTGTGAGTTTCATAAATGATGTTATCCTGATGTTTTCAAAAAGCGCTGATGAATGTCATGCCAAGCCTTTGGCTACATTGTACCCATTTTAGATTACATGGGCCATGTTTACCAAGTTCCTTATAATTATTTGTTTGATAATAACTGCGCCTTTTTGATTACGTTTACCACGTAAGAGTACCGAAAATTCCAAGAAGCTGCTTTTTCAAAGCAAATCAAACTTGGTTATGTAACGTCGAGTCATTCGTAACTTAATATGTGTAGTGCACACCAAGCACGCTAACTGACGAACAACAAAACTAGAACCTGCTCGTTTCCAGTGATTTCTGCTTGTTTCCTTGTCTCTTTTGTTTTTCTTGATTACAAGCTAGTCAATAGAACACATTTGTACACTTTGTTAGGATAAAAAATGTTTCACTGGAAAGTTACCAGTAAGGGTGCCGTCGCTCATAGGACTTAGTGTGCAGTCTCACATATTAAGTTACAAATGACTCGACGTTAGCATAAATATTGCTTGATAAGATATTTTAATTCGCAAAAGTTTCAAAAGCTTTCATGTATCTGCTGCAGTTGCGTGTTTCATGACTTTGCCAGAATTCGAGACTTCCGAAGATATAATGTTTTTGAAGCTAAAAACAGCAAATCAAGAGAATCCAAAATATTACCTTGTATTTATAATTGCTTTGTTTGATCCATACTTAGTCCTTTCCGAAACTTTGGAATGAAATTTAGAAAAAGTAGCCTAACTTTGAGCAGCTTAAATTGACGGATGCAGAATTTCGGCAGTTAACAAAGAAAGCATACAAGATTGTGGTTCGAAAATGTATTCTTAAAAAAGAGAAGGAAAAGCTGCATCGAATGCTGAAATTCATTCAGGTCTTCATTGTGCGTGGTTTTATACTTGTTTGAAAAAAAGAACAAAACTTTCGGGACAGTAGCAGAGGTTCATTGATTCTATTAATGTAGGCCTTCCTCGTACCCCTCCAGTGCTATTCTTAGAACTCACGCAATGCTGACCATTACGATTAAATTACAAAGGACTACCTATTCTAAAATGTTTTCCATGTTAAATCTTCAGCTTTGGGAAGAAGTTCTGTGTAGCTTGAAAGAAAGTTCTGTGAGGAAAAATAAATGCGGACTTGAAACGATTACTAAGCAAGGCTTACTAGCCATCTTGAAAGACCATGAACACCTCGAACTACATGTTTGAGTGAAGTTTTTCTGTTTCCTAAGTGGAACCTTAACCAACGACAATAACCCAGTCATCCTACCACTTGCTACACATAATTATCAGCTACAAAGATCAAATATAGCGATGAATTTTTTGCAGAAAATCGCAACAAAGAAAAAACCAGCATTGTTTTAGGTGTCAGATTATTCGAATTATTCGAATAGTCGAATATTCGATTAAATGTAATTATTCGATTATTCGAATAGTCGAATATTCGAGTGTATGTAATTATTCGATTATTCGAATAGTCGAATGTTCGACCAACCTCATTAATTCGAATATTCGTTCATTCGAATTTTGAAATGTAGCATTATTCGAATATTCGAATTCGAATAATCTGAAAATTACAGATCGAATGATATTCGTTCGTTCGAATATTTTTCAAAAGCCGATTATTCGAAATTCATTCGTTCGACGAAATTTTTTGGTCGTTCTAACTATACTTAGAAGTACGGTGACCGAGAGCACTTGGTTCGCGCTGTTCGGCGACAATTACGGTTTCCGCAATCGCCTCCGGACCGTCCTTGCCTTGGCGCGTTGCCAGGCAATGAACTATTTATAGCAGCGCCGTCTCATACCGGTGTCTGCTGTTTCATTTTCAATCGGTTCAATCAATTTTTTTCTTATGTTACTTTTGTGCTCGCGGCTTGCAGTCAAGGTGGGTTATAATGATCGTTCCGGAACAGTAACAGTACAGCGCTCGCGTGTTTGCATAGTTTCGGAACTCATGGATCAGTGAAAAAAAAACAGCCTTAAGCTCCCGCTTTGATCATCTCTTTCACGATCGCGGTCGTGCGAAATCAAGCCTGAAATCCTATCGAAATTAAGATTACTTTGGACTGATTTCGAGGCGAGCCTTTTTGGGATATCTTGGAAATTGTTAACATGAAGAAGTTTGGGGCGGAGAGGTTGTCGTGCCGTGTCATCCTTGGCGACGCGCAGCGGATCGTTGTAAAATATGCGCACCATCGGTAGCACGGAAGGGGCAGCTCGTGTCGTGTTGGAGATTTACTCTAGTGTAGTGGCCTAGTAGTGTTGTTTTTCAGTATTGCACATTAGCTGTGTTATTGTTATGGTTTTCTTAATGTCATTAGAATCAGTTTGATAGTGTACTATGTTTACTGTCGCGCGCTAGAGCAATTATTAGAATAGTTAGCGTCGCACGTATCGTATTAGGCCTCGGACAGAGTTCACGCTCATTTGATCGTCGCGATTTAATCGCCACGATTTCCATTCATTTTCATTTTACATTCAAAAATTTCTAGCTGGGAAAGTATCACAACCGAAATGCAAGCTGGTCGGCATGCAATGAACTTGTAACAGTTGTCTTGTCGCGATTGAATCGCGACGATCAAATCGCGTTAACTCTGTCCGAGTTAACGCGATTTGAGCGGGCGAGCCATGGCTTCTCGAATCAAATCTAGGTGCTTGGTGCCCGCCGTGCCGCCACAAGCTCTATATGGATAGCAAGAACAAGAAGCCTTTTTCCTTAATTCTCGCTATATATCCTCAACACTAGATAAAAGAGAAGGCTGGTTCGGATCACATTCAAGAGCTTGGCGAAAGCAAGAATTTTCGAGGGGACAATTTTGACAATATATGCCCGCTGCTCACTTGTGCGTTCGACTCCCCTTAAAGGCACTGTCCGGGCAAAAGCTCAGTTTTTTGAAGATTTACTTACCGGGGGTTATCCGCACACTGAATTCGAAAATCAACATTAAAAAGCGCGAAAACGGCGAGAACATACGTTTTCCGTTTCCCTTACACTTGAAATTCGACGGTCCTCGCCATGGCAGAGACGCAGTGCCACTGCGGAACCCTACAATTTTAACTGTGACGGCATGCGTACTCTGCCGCATAGCAGGAACTCGAACACGTCGGAGGACTCCGCCCCAAGGCGTGAGTTTCCCCACTTCTCGATCGTTTTTCTTGCTTTAGGTCGAACGTTATGACCTCGTACTTTCGCGGTGCTGTGTCTGAAGGGGATCACTTTCGAATGGCAGTGAAATCCCAGTACCCCCATCTTGTCCAGACACTACCTTTAACGGGTAGGGGAGCGAATGATGCCAGTTCGGGCCGCTTCCGCGGACTGCTGGTCCTAGAACGACATGCAATAACATTGCAAACGGACCGGTTGGCCGCAAAAGGCGGCTCGAAGCATTCGTAACCTTACCCCCTACCCCCTCTGTCAGGTTATCATGACACTTGAAGTAGAAAAAATTCTGAAAAAACCAGCACTGGTACAACATAAGTCTTGAAATGATAGAAAGCTTTTTTCTTTTGCGTTTCAGTAAACAGCTACAATTCTCTTTCCAGGCCAGGAACTGAAGCCAATAGCCACTTCTCGTGCAACTGCATACATCCAGTATCATTTTTCTGGTTTATAAATCTTTAGGATGAACATTTGGATGCGACTTTGTGACACGTATGGTTTTTTAGGGATGCCGGCGATCCATCTATTATCTTTGAGAGCTGCAATTATTATATAGCAGAAATGTCATGCATTTCTAAATGACCTTTCAAGTGAATGATTTGTTGCATGCAAAACGATCACCCAATCCAAAACGCATTGTTAGTTTTCTATGCACAATCTCTAACCATAACTCGTCAAGAACTCGTCGACGGCACTCCATGATCTAATTTCCATGAATTCCGATGTAGAAATCCCTCTTCCAAATCTTGAACAACGTTTGGTCCGTACAGAGACGTGGCCAAACCTGTACATTTCCAGGCTGCATAATCTGCCCATCAAAAGGCCCGGGGACGCATGTGCTCTGCAGTGATATACCTTATAACTTGCAAGTAATGCGGAGACGAGTATGTCGGGGAAACGGGAGACACTTTGCGTCAGGATACAAGAATACGCATGGATTGTGCAGGAACAAACTAACTCCTTTAGGCACGCATCAAAAGCTGTGCCATCATGCATATTTTGACATCATTGTATCTATTCTGTCACGAGTAACTGAAGAGTGGCGCGAAAAACCTTGGAAGCGTGCTGAATTTCGATCAATCCGAGTGAACAAAGAGAGGAATGCATAGCCATAACGAATGAACTCGCTACGTTTTTGGAGTTATGCCGGTTCTGACCCCATAACAGTGGGTGGTGGTCTCTATTTAACTTAGAGCGGTTGGAAAGACAGGATCTCATGTGTTCCTCACTTGCATGCTCTGACGAAGGCGAACAAGCCGAAACGTTATAATTTTCAAGCATGCAATACAAAAGGAAAAATTCATTTTTTTGATTATTCATTTGATTTACTTTGGTATTTATCTCAAAAATCACAAGTTGTTTAAGTAGCACAAACTTTGCTCAATCAGAAAGAGCAAGTAACAAAACCTATAATTGAATGCTCCCATTTTACCTGCAAGTTTCAGATTTTTACGACCAAACTCAGAAAAAATAATGTGAGTAATTAATTCTCTTCTAACGCTTCTATTCATGCAATGTATCATCACTAGTAAGCCGCAAAAACACTGTTGGAAATTGCATGCTTCACACTTTCAAACAAAAATAAAAGCAAGCAGATTGATTGCGAAAGTCAGAAGCTATGAATTTTTGAAGAGTTTGCTACAGAACTTTCGTGCTAACTTGACATTACCACAATTTTAGTGTGGCTAGAGCAGTTCAAAAGGAACTCGTCGATGTTTGTGTTGAAAAGTTCATGTTACCTGCACATTTTGCTTTCAAAGCACAAGAACTCCTCACATCTGCGAGATGATGTCAATAGCTGTAAGTTAACGAAATTTGCCCCAAAACCATCTAAGAAACGAATTTGGCGCAGGTAAGGCTGAGCTGCATTTGATGCAGGAGAGAGAATACAAGGTTTTCTAGCGTCAGTCACTGCTTTCATTGAGGAAACTCATCGATAGCTTCCCCAGAAGCGAAGTGCGCGAAACAATGATTCAGAAGTTAATAACGAGTTGTCCAAAGCGTTTTAAACAAAAAGTATACTGACGAGGCCCTAGCTTTTATGAATCACATTTGTGCAGTGTCAACTTCGAGTTTAAATACGTGAATACAAAATCCTTCTTTTCATTCGTCGTTTTGTTCTTTCGATACTATGTTACCTTGATTTGTTATAAAATTACATTAGCGCGAAAAACCACATCACTCTACTTCATCACATATATGGTTCAAAAATGCGAAACGATTGGAGGTCTGAAGGTATTGGAGAGGCCGTGGCAGTGCGAGCACTCGCGGGCGCTATCCGGCCACTGCGTCGCGCGGGGGCTTTTGCCTGCTCCCTTTCGGGCCTGGGCCGTGCACCCCTCCTTGACCGCCCAGGACCTGCCACCTTCCGGCGGCTGACCCCTGGCGACGCAACGCTTGGCGCGGACGCCCGGTCGCCGTACTCGACGACTACCGCGGGACTCCTCCCCTCACTCCATCCACACCAATCTACTGCCTAGAAGCTGGCTCACAGGCGCCCGCCACGACGCCCAGTGACCATGAAGTTGCTTTTCAGCTACTTGTGTCAGTGCTTCGCGAGAGTATGGATTTCTAGAGTGCGCCAGATATAAAGCGAAAGCGAGATAGTGCACAAGTAGAGGAGGCAAAGGGTGCTTGAGACAAAAGAGATAGCGCACTGGCAGCGAGTTGAGTGAGTAAAGTGTCGAAGCGAGACATTACAAATTCGTAGGAGAGCAAGGAATGGCAGATAACCCGTAGGATCTCGTGCAAAAGTCTTAGGAACGTAATCGTATAGTCGCCACAGTATCATAACACTTAAATGAGGCGGTTCGCTTGTAGTGGCAGCGGCACTACATTTTACAACGATGTAACATAATTTTCTCATTCAAGGTTAAATACCGAACGACACATTTATAGAATGCGCGAAGTCTCCAATCTGAGAAGAAGTAACTTGAGTGTCAGTCTAATTTGCGCTAAACTCAATCTCATTGTATGCCCTTCGTATAGCAAGTTGATGGCATGACACTTCAAACAACGAAAATTTATATAATTGTATGGAAAAAAAACAAGACATTCTTATATGGGAAAGAAGCATCCCAGTGAATAAATAAAACCTTTTTCATCTAGCTACAAGACCTGAAAATAAAATCAATTATTTAAGTGCTGACTGTCGTCGGTATTTGCGTCTCAATCTGATCTAAATTTGGCAAGTCGTACTTGAACAATACGAAGTCACTGTAAAATAATCGGACTATCAATTCCATCAAATATGGGCTATTGCGAATTCTTTGTTCCAAATAAGTCCTTGCAACCGATGATACGGTTGTATGCGCAGTTCGTCCAGATCTAAGCGAGTTAGCAATATAGTTGATTGATGCTTGTTCGACCTGAAAGAGAGAGTTTTCAAGATAAAACGGAGACACTAACGAAAACTCGTACTCCTTGTGATTTCAAGATACGAGACAAGTCCTCCGTCAGTGTACCGCTCGGATCGGTTGAGTATCGGATAAATTCGTATTTGTTGTAGTGTTTCTCCATGTCACATCTCCTGAATAGAACAAAAAATCCAGAATTCCAGGAAAAAGCTAATTTTACCAGTTTTGCGGGAAACAGTGAATATCCTCATTAGTGAGCCAAGGCTTTAGTAAGCTTTGTTTGTCGGCATATGCGTAATCCGTAGCTCTTAAGAAAAGGGCTTATAAAGAAGTATAAATAGAAAAGAATTGCCGAAAAATTTTACCTTTTGTACTCTTGTTCCAGGAAACATGTCATATTAGTAAGGCAACCGAAGCATGTATCGCCCGATCTGAACTAATTGAATGATGATTGTAAGGGGTTATGTTAACGCCTCCATTCTACCATAAAAAAACAAAACAAAATATGCATTTTAAAATCGCAGAGTTTATAGAGGTAAAATTTGCTCTGCAAAGAAGGCAGTTTTTTTATTCCCCCAAAAATTGCAAATATAGATAATCAAAAAGAAAAACTATTATGATGAGTGTAATGTTCATACCTTATGCACCTATCGATGAATCCCGACAAGAAGCGATCAACTGGTTCACGTGTGACAACGGTAAATCGCCACTGATTCATGTCTTCTTCGTGTAGACGTAACCCACTCTTCATAGAATCGACGTCCTTGAACTCATTTCGACCTTCGCAGAGCCTAGCATTATGCATAGTAGTCGAGGATCAGAAAAAAAAGCGTTAAAATTCCCAAGCAACTTGTTAAAAAGGAGGTAGGCATTAGAGCAGGCATGCATTCAAAATTTACAAAAATCTGCTTGTGCACCACATCTAGGCTTGCCAAAACATCTTCTTCAGTAGTCAAGCTTTACCGTATGTCAGAGTACTCCCTCAGTATACTGCGTCCAGCATCGACAAACTCTTTCTCACGTATAAGAAAGCAGAAGATTGCCGAAACCACAGTAGACATGCTCTTTTGTATAATGCAGGACATCAGCTGATGGTTAGGTGCGGTCTGCAAAAAGGTTTTTTCACTGTAGACTGAATAAGGGTGAATTCATAAAAGCCAGTCACCCACTTCAAGTGCATAAGAAGATTCTATCAATTATTTATTTCCAAGTTTGCTTTTTTCTTATGTCTAGGCGTTTTCTGCCCTTCCATGAGTCTTACTTTGTTCTTACAGATTTGCAAGCAATCTTATAGCTATGATAATGTGATAAATTATTTTTTCGGGCTTCAAAAAGCTTTTTCGGACTTTGTATTGTGATAAAGATCTTCAAAGATGGCTTACGTCATTTACCTACTCGGGAAAGTCACTCCAAATCGTGAAGAAATGACTAACATTGTAAAGTAAAATATTTTTCAAATCCATGAGCGATTATATGACCTTTTTGCTTCAGATAACGAGATAATATGTCCCTGCTAGATATTCAACTGTTTCTCTTCTTAATTCTTACCACAATAAGCGGACGAATCTTTGCGAATGGCGCCACACACTGCGCTTTTCCCGTTTCACACATTTCTGCAGCGCTGAGACCAGCGAATTTTCGCTGCGGTAGTACCTGAAAAAGTAATCGTAAAATTATTGACATCGACGCTAAATTCATCTACGTCAGAGTTCAATGCTTTGGCAATGTTTATGTTATTCAGTCCTTGCATTCCGGCTTGTATTGTTCTTTCCTGCGCCCTGTAGCTCTGTGCAGCTCTAGCTATTTTCTCTTCGGATAGGGGCTGAACACAATTATTTCATATCTTCGCAGAATTTGTTTGATAGCTGAAACAGACCTCAAAATCGAAGTTTACTATTGGTTCCTGATAATAGGTGAAGATACGGTAGGCAAAAGCAGTTGCGAGCAGAAGAAATGCTACTAGTAGAATCGAGTAAAGTTTATTTTCATTTGAACAAGTGACCCTACAAAACATTGTTCTGAAGTGCCGTTTACAAGTCTAGTTTAGTATAATTCAAATGTGCATTTCGACCTTTTTACCTAGTGACCAAGGTAGATAAAAATCAAAAGCGATAAGTGACAGTAAAGTTAAAAATAATGGAAAAAAATTCACAATACTCACTTCATCACGCGAATCCAGACTGATGAATATCTTCTCAGGTTATCTAGTACTTTCACTTTACATATCTGGTCGCAAGATCGTGGCGGGATAAAACAAAATCCGCGAAAAAACTTGATACTCAAGAACTTTCCATTTTGATTTCAAAAAATGTAGTCTCACAGCCTAGAACCAGTTTTTGGGAATCAGATGGTTTGAAGTGTTGTCTACAAACCAAATCCGTGATGACATCAGGACTCAGATTTTAGCATTTGAGTGCGACTTGCTGGCAAGCTTCCATCAGTTTGCTTCGTCTAAATGCTATAGAACTATAAGAAATGGTCAAACGATGATATGACATTATGGTACATACATTAAACGTTCCTTGTTTGCAAATAGTTTGCAACTTCGAACAAGCTTTGTGCCGGTCAGTTTTCTGCAAAGCTTTCCCTAGTCGCGATTCGACATTCCCGTACGGGGATTTAAAAGTGTTGACAGAGGATTTTCATGTTTGAACGGATTTTGAGAGGCTGCTGATATCCCTCTGTTGATGCATGATGACTGAGCTTGAGCGAATAAATGGTATTTTTTCGCTGATAATACAATTAATACAATTTCGATCACGCTTCGAGCTAGATTATGTTTATATATATAGTAGGCGTGACGATTTATATCTTGCGATTCGACAACATTTGCGCGTAAGCAACGTCGACGTCAACAACGCTCTGAAGTTTTCATTGTGACAGGCAAGTTGTCGGCATTCACATTCACATTCACAAGGTTGGCACATTTGTGCAACAAATTCTACACAGAAACATAATATTACAGGGATGGGGAAGTCCTTGAACCGGTTCTTTGATCGTAATCACGAAGCTAAGCAAGATGATCATATAAAATCAATAAGCAATGTTTACTCAACAGTCTACTGCCTAATCTCACGCGTATAGGCTTTTCCAATTTTTTAAGCGTGCCACTCAGCCGCCTCATTGTGCTTCGGAAAACGAGACTTATGCCGACGATACTCTCAGGCAATATGCAGCACTGTAGATAGTTTTTAGTCGCGGAGTACTTCGGGGTAACTCTGCTGTCCGATTTTAGAAAAAAAAATCCCCCGCGTCCCGTACGCGTGAAATTAGGGTATATAAAATTGATTTTATTCGAAGATTCCTCCTTTGACGCAAGCACAAGCGTGAAGAAGCTTTGGAATGCTCTCCTGGAGGTACTCGACGTCAATTTCCTCCCACGCATTCTAAAAAGCACGTCGCAGAGACTCCACAGTCTTGTGTGGGTGAGCGCAGACTTGGGTCGTGAAGTCCTTGACGTTGCCTTGGAGCCATGCTTGAACAACCTGCGCTTAGCGCGAAGGTGCGCTATCGTGTAGAAGCACCAGCCCCTCCCGACAAAATGGATGGTCCAGGCCAACAGTTCCTTCCTCAGGATGCCATCCAAATACGTAGCCGCGTTCACTTTGATGCCCTGAGGCACCTTGCCGAAGACCAGCGGCACCTTGCCGACGGAAGTGACCCCGCCCAAACCCAAACAGAAGCCGGATAAAGCTTTCCTTCTGTAATTCAACCCTTGCTATTGGCTTCCTGATGATTCCGGTGTTTTGGCGTCAAAAAAGAGTATCATCCTGTAGCATGACTAAAGAAACGTTTCAGTTGATCACACCTGCGTCGTCAGTCCACCTTCGAAATTTTGGCAAACTATAAAGCTTCATCCCAGAATTCTGTTCCAAGATGTCGGAAACAGTCCCGCCACGGGGGTGTATGTGAAGACACAGAGACCAAGATGCTCTGAACCTATCTCAATCAAGCGTCGCTGATGAATGTGACGAAGGCGTTTGCGAACGAACTTCCAATTTTGTGGGTGTTCGCGGTAGCCGATTTAGCACTCCTACGACACTCGGGCCTGTTCATATTCTGACATTGACGCAAGGTGAACCACTCGCTGCTCTGTGAAGATTCGAAGAAGTAAAGTTAAAGGCAGTGTCCCGGCAGATTTTGCGTTTCCACCTTCCTGCAAGTCTTAGGCTTTTCCGACTCGTAGAACCCGAATCTGAGCTTAGAATCGGGTGAAAAGACCGTTTTGGGGAAATTTCCCTAGTTTCCAAAAAGCGGCTCGGACGAGAGTTTCAACGGAAACTCCCGTCGGCTTGGGGAGGCCCCGGCACGAACACCCTGCCGCCTGTAATTTTTACTTTGAAATAGTATGCACAATGCGGAGAGCGGTAATGGGGTCCCGCACCGAGCAGGTAAGCGAAGTCGTTCGAGCGCGCGCCGATTAGGCCTGCGCGCGCCGTTTCTGGGGCTATTTTCTCGGCGCATGGGGGACATCAACAAGTCGGACTAGGCCTAGAGGTTAGTGGGGTGGCCAGGAACCCCACCGCATCGATATGACCCAGGGCGCGAATCTGCCGGGACACTGCCTTTAAAGGCACCGTCCACCCATATTTTCGAACTCCACATTTTTGTCGTTTCAGGGCCTTCTGATGTTCCTGATTCCGAATATAAGGCCGAGAATGCGCGAAAACCCCGACAATCCCCGTTTCGTAGGACCCACAGCCCGGCTTTCCGGAAAGTGATTGGATGGGCGCGCGGCGCCATCTAAATCTACTTAACCGGCTGCGCGGGCGGTCGCGCGCGTGCCATCGCTGCGTGCCGGGACCTGGGACTCCCTTGCTCCCAGCATTGATCTTTGAATAATAGCGTTGCAATGTATATGAGTGATTTCGGCACGACAGATGTTGCCGCTAACTTTTGACTGCACCGCATGATCTTAGTTGTCTTTAGTGATGGAGGTGTGCAAGTCCCAGTGAAATATACGTATACCTTTCCTACATTCCTCATATCGTTATCCGAGTTGAGATGCTTTGATTCAGACGCACAGTCTGATGGTGATGGTCTTGCTAGAGAGCCTAACATGTCAGTTTCAACACTGTCGTGATAAACACACGACTCCATGCCCAAATTGTAACTCTTTGTGACCATGTTTACATGTAAACTTTTCACAAAGAGTCCGCCAGATGGCGGACTCTTTGTGAAAAGTTTACATGTAAACACAATGGTCACAAAGAGTTACAATTTGGGCATGGAGTCGTGTGTTTATCACGACAAACACATATGTGGAGAAGTATTTATGCGAAGTCGCGACAGTTTCTTGCTACATACTTTTGAATGTTTTTCGAAAAAGTTAGATAGCAATTTTGCTTATACAAGACTTTTTCTTCTTTCTGCAAGGGAGCTTTGTGTAGGAAGGTCATCTTGGCTGTCAAGATTGTTGTGTTTTCTACAGCAGAATCCAGTCTTGGGCATAGAACTTCCACCCAATGATAAACTCTTGCTGTCAGAGCAACAAATTTGAGGCCTAACTCTGCAGTTTTTTGTATTGCGCAGAACCAGAATAAGAAAGAAACATTCATCCAAGGAGACTCTTGAAACCAGGCATTGTCTGTTAGTTGAATTTGCTTTTCCTAAACTAGATGAACTAGTAATCGAAGACGAGATAGCACGGTATGAAGAACAAAAACAACATTATTCAGTTTTTCCTCAATGATCATGAATGATACATCCCCGTGGAGAGTCGAGGTTGGCCCTGTAAAGCCGAAGTGCGTTGGGTAGTCTGAGAGTTGGTCATGATTCTTTTTCCATCAAATTTAATGCGATACGTTTTCCTCAAACTTAGAATGCAAAAGACGGTCTAGCGCAGAAAGAGTCATTCGCAGCGTACATGACTCAGAACTGTCGGGAAAGATCTCCTGCGACAAAATAATTTCCATTCACTTGAAACAGTAGTACACTAAGCGAAAACACTCATGAGCGTGCCGATCCTGTTCGGAGTAACTTATATCTTTGAAAGGAAAAGGTAACACGCTCTACGTAGTCACGTTCTGAGTAGTCTTCTATTCCATCTCCTTTACTTCACCTCGTTTATGCAGTCCCATATTCATTTTAATACCAGTGAAGCGACTAAGCACATCAGCAATCATATAGAAGTGAAAGACATTCGTTCGTTGCAACAGGTCTTCAAACACAGGGTTGGCAGCAAGCGAGCCCGGGGTCCCAGCACGCAGCGAAGCACAAATGGGCGGGCATGGATGGGGGAAGGCAGGCATGGATGGGGGTCCTCGTGCATCTTTGCTATTCCGAAGCGATTTTCTCGCTTCCGAAGCGGCATTTTGCGCCGCGAATTGGGCATTGGATTGATAGGGGGCCCTACTATTATATGCTGCCAAAAGCTCAACACCCTCAACTTAGGGTGGACGGTGCCTTTGAGGTCCAGTTTATGAAGGGCTTGTACTACATAACAGTATAAGAAGCAAATACATATAAAGCAACAAGAACATATAGAAAATCCGGAGATACAATGACATCGAAAATCGTTCCTGGACCTTTCTCCAACCCGTACTTGTAACATCTATTGATTGTGTGCTTATAAGGCAACCTTTAAAGCCACTCTATCATATACGCTATGAGATCTGCTGACTTTTCTGAGCGAGGGGACTACTCCACGCCAACCTTCCACATAACACATCTAACATGGAATTCTTTATAATCTCGAGAAATCAGTCTAACAATCACAAATAACTGAAATTGTACATGGACGCTTGAAATACAATGCAATCGAAGTGCTTTGTGACGATAACACACGCTAATGCATATTACAATATGAACAAGCAAATAATTAGGCAAAAAGCTAGAAGAGATTGAAAGGAATAATGAATTTCATTGGTAACCAGTCGTATTATAGTGAACCGGAGAGTACAAATCTCTGCCAACGTACATGACAACCATATTGATTGTGAACAAGATCTTATGTTATATACAGGAAGTAATCTTTAGCCTAGAGAATTTTCAAAAAAAAAATAAGGACTTACTGCTTGTCATGAGAAATGTTAAAAACGTTAAGAATGTTATTGCAGGAGAATCAATTTAATCGGTCCAGCAAGTCAATGATACGTTCAATTGATCGACAGCCGTTGCTCTTTTTGCTCTGAAAATGAAGGAAATGTGAACTGTTACAGCTACAAGTCAAGATGCGGCAACCCATTGTAGATAACAAATGCAATAGATTTGTAAGACGAACAGCTTCAAATTCAACTTATGAACCGCTACCAGGCCTATCACTCGTAAGAATTAGCATGAAATCAACGGCAGCTGTGTATTTCAGCTTATTCATGAGATATAGTTATCAGGGTTAAGGTTGTATTGTTCGTGTGTAGCCTCAGAAGGGTTGTCACAGAGCAACACAATGCAATATTCTTGACAGAAGAGAAGCTTGAAAATGACGAGACCTCTTTGGTTGAAAGAAAACGAATTGTTGCCGATTACACGTAAGATAAGGACACATTCAAAGCAAACAAAATAAATACTCACTGCTATTTTCATGAAGTCAAGGAAGCGCTGCAGCTGGTCAATCATTGAAGAAAGTGATCCGTCTTTAAGGTGCGAACGAACAGCAGCAACGTGCCCCTGATGTACAGATACTAGGATTGCACATGACAAAAAAGGTAATTAATTTTCAGTCTCAAGCAAGTTGAAAAGTCGTTAATTTTCTGCAAGCTTAGTTCCCTAAAAAATTCAAAATGGATGTGATACTCACCTCATTTTGCTGCAGAAGGCAACCAATCAGAAGAGCGACGTAGGAAGCAACTACACTATCTTCCATGTGCGCGGATGCCTAAGATATGAAAGATTCTCAGAATCTTTTAAAATTTTATAGATGAAGTGGAGTTCGTCTATATTGAAAAAAACTTAATATTTCCTTTCCAGAAAAACCTACTTTGCTCATAGCATCCTGGACAGCTTGAAGCATTTCACTTTCGCTCATCTCGTTCAACTTCGCCCTGTCTAGTCGACCATCGTCTTTGACTTCTTCATCAGTGTCTCCATTCTCTTCATCTACTGGTTCCTATCATTTAAAATTTGGGTGGTTTGGAAAGCCAATCTTACAAGAAAATGATACCTCAAAAGCTAGATCTTTGTCCAAATCCTCATCGATATTTCGAGCTTTCGCTTCATGGATGGTGAAAAGCTAGAGTAAAGAAATGAGACTCCAGAACAAGAACAAAACCGAGTAAGCTTACGATTGACAAAGCATCCAATGCTTTGTGTTCTGTTACTTCACCATTCTCTTCCGAGTAGACTTTTACCGATGTGTCGATAAGTTTACGGCGGTTAGAATTGCACCTCTCTACCAAATTCACGCATAAGGACGTCATCTAAGAAATATTTTCCCGTCACAGCAAACAATACATCAGAAAAATTAAAGAACGCACTCACCATTACATAAAGGTCGAACTTTTTATCATCAGGAGCAAATTTTGGCGCTAAGAATGTGTAGGAGGATAGACACAGCGGCAGGAAGCCAGGGACTTGTCCTAATTTAGTGCAACACAGCTCTAGAAAAAGGCGAACCGTGTATAAATGTGAGCGATACCTCAGTTCCTATGTAATTTTCCAAAATGAATAAAAAGAACCGTTTGCTACCCACCATTTTCATGCGAAAGGTTCATAAGAACCCGAGCCATCAGTGATAGGCATGTTATATGAGAGCTTGCCAGTTCCGAACCGACAGCACAATTGCTGATTGTATCGTGGATAATACTCATCAATCTAAAACACCTTTCGATGACAAGCAACACGGAAATAAAATTTCGTTTGCAACTTTGAAACGAAATCTGATGACTTCCTCATGCAAGCATAAAACAGTTTTATACCAAAATCAGAAGAAGGAGGTTATTTGAAGAAAAGTGATCAGAAAAAAATGTAAAAGATGAGCTTAGACTTACTTCCCACACATTTGAATTAACAAACTACCACGATGAGATATCAAAAACGCTTGGTTCTTCTTGTGGAATAAGGTGCACTGGAATATCGTATTCATAATAGCATTCACAAATGAGCAAGAAGCTTACGGATTCAAGAATTCTAAAACATCTTTCTAGCACAACTAGTTGCTGTAGAGTCTCGGCTTCTGTGAGTTTATCGTGTAAGAGCCTCAGGACGATCTTCTCGACTAAAAGTAGCAAATTCAAACACAAAGAAAAAAGCGCAGCTTCAGCTAAAGATCGTGATATATGAAAGCAGCGGAGTTGAGTACAAAAGTACATAAGATCATGAAACTTACTTTTACCAACGATATATTGAAGGATGCCAAGATTCAAAAGTTCGGTCTTCAAGTTTTCATCAGTAGAACGAGCGAGTATAAACACTAAGGCTTCCAGAATTAGACCGGACGGCTGAAAAGACGTGCAGGATTGAAAGAAAAGATATATTAAAACAAAAAACGTGGAAAACTTACTGTGAGTTGATCCTGAGTCAGATGAAAGACGATCTTCTTTCCCACGGCCTCCATACGTTCAAGATAGCTGGTAAAAACTTCCCACACCTGAAATATCGATTGTACTAACTTGGCGCAAACAAGAATGCAAATTCAAGATGAACAATGTCTATGATGAAATGTGAAAAAACCGTAAGAAACAACAAATGTGAATAAAAATCACGTACCATAGCCGCATATTTCTTCTGCTCTTCATTCTGGTCCAACTTTTCGATACGCAGCAACTGCGACAGTAACCTCAGTGAATGTGCATCGACGTGGATAGAGATGAAATCTCTCGACATCAGATAAATCACTGTCGAAGCACATAAAGCAAAATTCTGAAAGCAGGTTGAGTCAGAGAGTCAACGCCTACACTTTTAAACACACTCTACTCACCTGATCACTAGCAGCCTCCGCTAGACCTTTGAAAACATTGGAGACGAGACCTTCGCTACGGATGAATTGTCGAAACTCAGGTGAAACGCATTTTCGAGCCAGCGATATGGTACTAAACAGCATAATCGACATATAACTGATGATATCTAAAGCACGCACAAGAATAAAAGAATTCTAACCTCAAGCACTTGATATTGGCAGATGAATCCCCTTTCATAGTGCTGAGGATGTACTCGATATCCTGCTTGAAATCATCGTGCTCTCCAGACTCAAGACATTGATGGGCCTCTTTCACTTTGTGCACTCTTGCGCCTTCATTACTTCTGTAGATGGGTAAGCGCTGAAACGTTTATTATGCGTTGGACAAAACTCAGATCAGAACTGATATGAAATCGAACGCTGTGAGTTCATCTTTCTCTGAAAATACCTATACAGTGGACAACTGAGCAATTTTTTAAATCGTACATTTATTGAAGTATACGCTGCTGACACTCTATACTGGCAACAGAACACCATTACGAAAAGAGCAAAGGAAATTTGTCAAAGAAATTCATCTCATTCTCGCATTCTGTTGACAGTTTCAAAGTTATCAGTAACAAAAGGTCTTGTGAGAATGCCCAAAAAAAGAAAAGATCTTTTGCACATACTTGAGTTGCAGCTGATGGCCCCACTGCAGCTGGCGCAGCTGTTTCCTCAGCATCAGCTTCGTTACTGTTTTCATTTTCATCCTCATCATTTTCTGTCCACTTGTGCTGATATACCGGGCGACGCTCCTTGGGTACAGCAAACTTGGAAGAAGCTGAATATCGTCTTTCTTGTGAAGAAAGATATGATGAAGGGACATTGCATACAAGAAGATGGTGGTGACATCTTGCTTCTCTTGACCGAAGGTGGAGGGGAGTCGTCTTTATCGTCAAAATCGAAGGCAGACGAAGAAGTGCGCACCGCTCCACTATGCGGACGAGGCGAACGCGATGAGCGCAGCCCAGTAGCTTGCATAGCACTAAACTTGCAATTTATCTTATAGTGTGAATCATTTGATACAGAACCGCATCTACAAATAGTTTACTAGCCAAACAACACAAAAAGATCTAGAAAAGCAGATGCACCTGCAGACAAGAAAGAACGAACAAATATCTTGAAAGGCAATAAAAAATGCAGGTGTACCTGTTCAAAGAAGATGTAGAGGAAGCGGCTGATACGGCACTCCTTTCCTGGTTTGGGACTGGTTGACTGTCTTCATCACTGCTGCTGCTCGACAGACCCTAAAAGCAGGTAAAGTGCAAGTACAAATGACTAAGACACACAACATACGTTGTCATTTTCCGTTGTTCCATCTGTAGATGTGCTTTCTGGCAAACTGATGGGTGGCGAAAAGACTTGTTTAGGCGATCCATGAGCTGGTTCCCCTTCCGACACTGAATCAGATTAAATGCCCCAAAAATAAGCCATACGCATGACTGACAAATCTACCAGAAACCAATGACACGAAAAGAACAAATCTAAAGTGATAAAATGCTCCAGCATGTTTACCCAAGAGTTTTCTTTTGTTTCTAACGAAAACATCACACAAAAGATATAGGAAACATCGAGCCGGCAGGTCTACAGTAAAGTGAGAATAAAAACGCGCTTATAACGTAAGAACTTGGATACTCGTCGCTATGTCACAATAGTTAATTAAAGTTCCGTATAGCAAAATACAGGCTTTGTTCTTCAACGCACATGTGTCGAAGACCAAAAAAGTTTTCTAAGTGATGTGGGTTCAGAGCAAGTATATCGAATACAAATTCAACTGAGGATAAAAGGATAAACGATTCGGCGTCTTCAATACCCTCTGCGGGCATGCGCCGAACGCACACTACTTCATAGTCGAAGAGGCAACTGCATGCGTGCGAGCCTATTACAGTGACAAATCCAATTATTAACAATAAATAAGCTCGCATACGAGCACTTCGGATGACAAAAATCAAGGAACTGTAATATTAAAAATGGTTACAGAAACTATCTGACCTGATGGTAACGAATCTACCGCAGCAGTGTCACCCGATGTATTCGAAGATCTCTGATTTTGAAAGCGTTTCTTTGGTAAGCTGAAAGTATTAACTGCTTTACTGACAAGAAAGTTTATAAGGAGACAGAAAATGCCAAACTTCTAACCCTACTTACGGTTTTGAAAAGGCTGCATCAAAAAGTGCTGAAGCTTTCGAGTTTGGTCCGAAGCTGCCATAAGCCCTATGACTAGAGTTGATGCTCTTTGAGTAGGACATAATGGATCCCAGCTGAGATCCTAGCCACTTATATGGATCTAAAACGATACAGTAGTTGATGTAATCCATTTGGGCAAAGCAAGCATCCGAAATGTCATGATAAGTGGCACTGCAAATACGAAGCAAGACCTAGTTGCAATTCAGAATAATTATCTCTATTTTTTTGTCATTGAATCCGATAAGCTTCCAATCCTGTTGAGAGCTATCGAAGAACTGTGAGCTAGCTACGCGTCATGCCTCGCTTTTGCGAATGTTTCGCAGTTCACTATCGCTCTCGCACTCTTGTACTTCACGGACTAAAAAAGCGAAGAGACAATCAGCGATAAACAGAATTGACTTTTCACACTATGCATTCTCTTGCAGGGTTGCAAGCAGGAACTAATCTGTGCTGCGTAGTTACAAAGTGGATACTGTGCAAATGCAACGGTTAAATGGCATTCAGGACGGAAACAGCACTTATGAATATCGATTTGCTTGCATCTCTGGTTGCAACAGCTAACCACGTAGCGTTATGAATGAATAAAACATAGGAAACATAAAATTATGGATTCGTGAAATGTGGTAAGTTTCGGCCCCAGTTTCCTACAGCCCCATTCACTGCGCAAGAGTCAAAACCCAGGAAATCCTGGTAAAATGCAAGCTATATTTCAAGCAGAACAACCATGCTCCTTCCCCCTCACGTTGGTTTTCATCCACAGAGAAATAAAGATGTACAAGCTGCCAAGAACTAGCTGTACACCACAACCCTCGCAGAAGGCCGATTTCATGGCTTCTTGCCAATTTTGCCTGCAGCTGGTAAAGCGGGGCAGGACCGACACAAAAATTTGAAAACGTTGGCACGCTGCCAACAGAGGCGTGCCGGCGTCATTGATTCCCGCGCGTCCGCGGGTCGCGGTGTGCTCGAGGTGCTTCCCGCTCGTGTTGGCGTCCAGGGTCTGGTTTTGGAGTTTTTTCATAGTTTTTCTTGTCTCTGTGCATAGTATCTCTCTTCATCCGAGTCCGGGATCTGGTGTTAAAGTTGTGCGCATTTTTTTTCGAAGTTTTTGATTTTCGAAAGTTCCTAGTGTGATGTTGTCATGCTGACCATATTCTCACATCAATCGCTCGTTATCAAACATTCCCTCATTGCAACAACCTTCATTTTTCATAATCGACCTATTCTAGGAGAAATGGCTGGAGGAAAGGGCAAAGCCGGCAAGGATTCTGGAAAATCCAAGTCAAAAGTGATCTCACGTAGTGCTCGGGCTGGTCTGCAATTTCCAGTCGGTAGAATTCATCGTTTTCTCAAACAAAGAACTACTTCGACTGGACGTGTTGGAGCTACTGCAGCCGTTTACAGGTGAGTTGAGAAAATCTGTTAAAAAATTGGAATAAGCTCGGCTGTTTGCAGCGCTGCTATTCTTGAATATCTGACTGCTGAGGTTTTGGAGTTGGCTGGAAATGCTTCAAAGGATCTCAAGGTGAAGAGAATTACCCCCAGGCATCTTCATCTTGCCATTCGAGGAGACGAAGAACTCGACACATTAATCAAGGCTACTATCGCTGGAGGAGGTGAGGATAGCTGCATCCCCTTTTCTGTTTGATGTTTCACTCTTTCTCAACCATACAGGTGTCATCCCTCACATCCATCGTTACCTGATGAACAAGAAAGGACAACCGCAGCCTGGGCAGAAGGTCGTAGCTCCCCCACCCTAGACACTGGAGGTGATCGTATGTTCAGCAATCATTGTGTACTACAAGTCACGATTGCTAAAATCCGATGCCTTTTTGCAATGATTTTGTTCTGTCACATTTTGGTACATTACGTCATCTTAAAGCATTCTTGTGTGTTTATTGTGCGTTTATTTTTGCTTTGTCGAAAATAAAGGGAATTTACACTCACTTTATAGCTACATCACCTGCCACTTATTATCCTATTTTAATCGATCAATTATGTTGTACATTATGAAATATCTTCTCATGTGTTGTACGTATCTGCAGTCCGATGGAAGTAAAGATCTCTCATAATCGGCTTTGTTCAAAAGTGCGAAGTGCTTCAAAGACTTTGATATCATGCACCCGAAATTGCATGTTACCAAAACTTAGCACGACAAACTCTGGGGGTTCTTTTATGCTGCACATCAAAGGTACTTTAACTCAAATGACAAGTTAGCTGAGTGGTTAGGATAGAGATGGGGAAGTTGTAAGCTTGCGTGTTGAGCCTATTTTCTAGGGGTTGACTCACTCGAGATCACAATTACCAGTAAGTGCATGTGGCGGTAAAAGGCGAATCATCATTTTCTACAAGTTCAGAGTCTTTTTTATTTCGTGATCCTAAGAATTTAAAAATTCCCTAGTATTCTGGCAGTGAAAGGCCAACCTTATTGGAAGCTTCATTTGCACACCAAGTATAACTTCAGCAGGTGACAGCATTACGTGGTGGAAGGCGTCGGACGTCGATCGATTGCCGTGTGTCTCATGTAGTCGGCGTGCAGCGCTTATTATGTTCACCTGTATTCATAAAAACCATGTGGGAGCTGAATAGCTCGCATACGCTTTTTGAAGGTCTGAAAGTTATGCTACTTTTGCGAACTTTCAAACCTTTCACCACCTGATACTCTCTGTTTTTCAGCTAAAGATGACGAGTTAGTCATTCCACAATTTGCGATGCTTTACTTACACTAGTTATAAAACAAGTTCACGTTTCTTACGATTAGACAAAGATAAAGAATTCATTGCTTTCGTTACTCATAGATAATCCAGTGACCAAGTAGAGATGACTCACTGCCTACAGTTGTTATCGCATTTACTTTGAGAAGTCGGACCTGCTGCATAGAGCTTTTATTTCTCCCCAGCTTTTACCAGTTTGCTCAGACGATTTTTTGGACATCTTTAATTTTTGCTTTCCAGTGGCAACATATGTCAAGCATCAATATCATTTTTGATGCGGTAATACGCCTCTTTTTGTGTATTTCGATGTTTTTGATAGTGTCCATAAAAGATCTGACTTGTCACTTTGAGTTGTTCGAGCGCGGTTTTCCTTTTTCATTTTAGGTCCGATGCCAAAGAAGTTTAACTGAGTGGTGATTAACGGAGTTCAATGTGCTTTTGATTTTCTTCTGTGTCCCCTTGGCATTGACAGAAATCCTTTGCAAAGATTTTTTCTATTGAAGTAGCAGGTTGTTCTTTCAAGACTCGTATTTTCGTCAAGATGTTTAAGTTTGTGATGGAACACACTAAAATGTCTTAGTGTATTTTCTTAGCTTTTTTCATCTTCGCATGTTTTCTTTGAATTGTGATTTAGCTTACCAGTGCGTCACCTCTGCTTCGCAGAGGCTCGCACTGGCTCTACTATCTAAGCCCCACTCATTCTCGCATAATGATGGCATTGGAACTCACCGAGCAATGCTGACTATCACGAACAAAATGTAAACAACTACTCATTTCGAAAGCTTTTTTATGTGAAATCGGTGATTTCGTGTAGATGAGACTTTTTGCAGGAGAACAAACGCAAATTTCTAAGGTTTTTCATTTTCCCATGGTCTTGACAGTTGCAGTAAGAATAGCAGTCACCGTGAGCTATGTTCGGCTCCCAGATTCGTGTGGAGGTGTATTGCAGACTTGGCCTGATGATACATGTAAACTTGCTAAACTTCCACGTCATAGCATTGCTTTTCGTAATCTCTCGCAAGCAAAAACCGCTACGCGGTGAGTTGGCAAGACTCCACCTCCACACGAATCTGGGAGCCGATGATACATCTTTGCGCAAAAATCTTGTCAAATGGTCTGTTAAAACTTTGGCAAATTGACCATTTACGCAACCAATACTTTTTGGCGCCATTTTCTAAAGTAATGGACTTTTGAAAACTTTTTTGGGTCTAAGTTTATGATCTGCACTTTTACTTGGCATAAACATCCACTACTTTGCAAAAAGTGGAATTACGGACCCAATTATGCGGCCCAAATGCAAAGTGGATCCGTTTGACGCGCAGTTTCTGAAGGATCCACTCAACGAATCTGCTCGTGCTTTTGCATGTTGGACTTTCATGCGGATAGCATGCGCTGTGCAAAATTTGAGCCCAGGAGGTTGGCTGGAACACTCTCTACGAATTTCGTAACAGACACACTCTCACACACACACACACACACACACACACACACACACACACACACACACACACACACAAAGTCACGTAAACATCCTTAGCCCGTTATTATAAGTTATGATAGCACACAAAGATGAAGAGACTAGCAACCTTTGCCTTTTCTGTTCATGTTTGAACAGATTAGTAATTGTAAACAGTTATTGTCTTTATTGAAGACGATCATTTTCCATAGGTGAGGTTTATTATCACAATGGTTTACACTGTATCCTCTGGATTCTGGACCCCATTTTTTACTATCATCGGTTTCGCATGTTTGTGGTTTCACCCGGTTCAAGGTTGATTCGCTGATTTCAGTGCACACGCAGCGGATGCCGCCGCAAGACGTTGTCGGTCAAAACCACGTAGCAACAGACTCGGAAGAAAAAATCTTGAAAAATAAACCAAAAGGTTAGTATCAAAAGATTTGATTGTTGATTTCAGCACTGCTGGTATCTTAATGCAAACGTTTTGGGTACAGTTCATTTTTTAGTTGTTACTCGTTCGTACTCGCATGCGATTCTTAGCTAAAACGAGTAAATTTGGTAGAGTTCAATTTTTAGTCGTTACTCGTTCGTACTCGTATGCGATTCTTAGCTGAAACGAGTAAATTTGTGCAGTTTGCGATTCACTTCTCATGATGTGCATTTCAGCCAGTAAATTACGGCAACAGCAGCTTCCAGCATGGCAGCCAATTCTTACGGCATCCACAGTTATACCAACAGTGATTGGTATCGGCGTTGTCTTCATACCTATAGGTGTGGCACTGTTCCTTGCATCTGATTCAGGTAAGCTTAGTTCCAGTCTTTACCTTATTGTTGGGTACATTTTAGTGTAGTGACAACCTTATTGAATTAGTATGCACAACATTAAATTAGTATGCGTTACCTAGTGATAAGAAAACATTGTTATTGTATGCTTCCTTGCGCACATTTCGCAGAGAGGACGGTCCGTAGTATAGAGCATAGAAAAGTTTTGATATTTGTTCACTCTCCATCACTCACCAGCTTGAGTTCTCTCACATGAGAGCATAAGGGAGCGTTAGGCCTTGCATACATCATGCGATTTCATCGCCTCGTGATTCTCCCGACGAGATAACTGTTATGAGTCCATTGCATGCTGAACATCTTGCATCTCGGTTGTGATAATCACTCGCGATTGTTCGCTTTGGAAAACTATTACAATTGAAATGCAAGATGATCGGCAAGCAATGAGCTCGTAACAACTGTCTTGTCGGATAAATCGCGAAGCGATAAAATCGGCCTTTTATATTACTGTGACCAGCACGCTGCTATGGCTTCGGCCATACAGGGGCTTTCAATCTGAGTGTCACTGTTCACTCCCGGTCGACGTGGTTCAGGTCCTTGAGAGCCGCTCGCTAGGGTCTCTCACGTCTACGACCGCACCCGACCGCGAAGGCCTTAGAGGATGCGGTATTGTACCACGTGAGAGACCCGAGCGAGGCGCCTCGCGAGAGTTGAACCACGTCGACCGCGACACTCAGATTGAAAGCCCCGTACACTTGCCAGTGTTACAGTGTTAATCGTTGTCCCCATGTAACCCGCGTTATTCCCTGTTACTAGAGCCACCACTTGCAATGATGTTGAATAATGAAATGATAACCACTACAGTTTCAGTTTTCAAATGAATTTCAACAGTTCTGAATGCTTTTCATGCTGTTTAAGAATATATATCAGGCCCGTTTTCGATATCAGAACCGTGGACGAGCCCTGCACGCCATAAGAGCAGCATTTTGTGTGAATAGTCATTACAGCGCTAGAATGTCGCTCGAAGAATTGAGACTGTAGTGGTCATCATTTCATTATTCAATAGTAGTAAAAGGGGTAACACTAGTAACGTTAATAATACTCTTAACGTGAATACGGGTAGAACTGATGACCAGGGTTGAGCAAGAGGTCAGGCACAAGTCTTTCCAAAACGACCCCCCCCCCCCCCAGTGAAAGCCCCTAAACGACCCCCCTGCTTCACCTCCAGGACCTCAGGCTGTGATAATTCGAAGAGATCAGCCGTTTTTGGGAGGTTCTTGTTTTTTGGAGGTCTGTAGGTCGACTTTCTGCGATTGCACAGCACACGCAACTTGACGGCAAGTTTTGGATTTTGGATAGCCCTACTTTTACAGCTATAATTCCCACAGGGGTGTATTGTTTGGCTCCAAATTTGCAGTATTGCAAGAAGAGGCTTTGAGTTCAATACTCATAGCAGAAATGGAGCGATTTTTAGATTTTGAAAACAAGTTAATCGGGTCAGGCGCAACCCCTCAAAAGCTCAGGCGGCCTGACCTTTTGTGGGGTTGCGCCTGACCCGATTAACTTTATCATTGAAGAAGCTTTTTTATTCAAGTTCTGTGTGAATCGCTAGCACAACCCTCGAAGATTCCACTGTAAGTTTTTGGACTTGATTCGACTTGTTTCGGCCTTGTGGTAATCAGTGAAGATGAAGCAGTCATGGCGAAAAACGCGCCGGTCGGAATTTTGGCATTATTTCTTACTCCACTATTTGCAAGCGATACAAAGCGCGATTTTTAGATTAGACTAGTAGGGAGCAATACTTTGTTACGAGTACAAAAAAATTGACTTTTCTCACTTTTGAAAACAAGTTAATCATGTTTGAAAACCACGCTTTTTAGTCGTTGAGAATCACTAGATAATGCAGTAAATAATGGTTTGTAGGGCTCATAGAGGTAATTTGACGTGCTCGGAAATGATACCCATTTCACACAGCAAGCTTCCTTGATGAATTAATAATATGTCAAGGTAGAAGATGAAGATTTGAGTTTTGGCCGAAACTTCGATTGTGGAATCAATCAGTATGCTGTTTGAAACCGTTCATTCCTTCAGTACTGGTGAGGTCGCGATATCCACTAAACTAGCGCTTTTCTTCTTCACCTTAATCGTAGTATCTCCTCAATCGAACGAATTCGACTAATAATCACGACCCCCCCCCCCCTCTGTCTTACCCCAGTACGACCCCCCAGGTCGGGCGCGCCTGACCCCACGCTCAACCCTGCTGATGACCCTGGTAACATAGCACGGGTAAAACGATTAACACGTAAAAAGTAACGCGGGTAACATTGGTAACAAGGTAATTTGACCGAAGCTTGTGATGATAGGTAATATAAGACATAATTTAATCTCATATTGCCTCTGCATCCATCATCATCTGATCGTAAGGGGTGAAGCTGTCCTTCATCCTGTAGTCCATGAGATTTCATTTCGATGATCCATTTTCTTTCTTGCAGTAAAGGAATACACAGTCGATTATACGAGCTGCACGATTGGTCAACAATGTCACCTACGAATCAATATTACCGACGAAATGAAGGTATTCCGCCAACAACCGTTGACTAAGTAAAGAACGCCTTTTTAGGGTGACGTTTATATCTACTACTATTTGGAAAATTACTTCCAAAATCATCGAAGATACGTTAAAAGTAGAAATGATAAGCAACTTCTTGGAAATGTCAAGGTAGGTCTCCGCACAGGCTGTGATACTTTCACAATCTTTGACCTGATGCTTTAGGAGGTCGCTGACTGTGAACCCTTTGCTTATGACGAGAATAAGCGTCCAATTGCACCATGCGGAGCTATAGCTAACTCAAAATTCAATGGTATCTCTTCGAATCTAAAGGTTTTCTGATTTGTATATTTTGTATGCTTTTTTACAGACACCTATGCTCTTTATCGCCTGGGCGCTGGTGGTGAGCAATTAGAGGTTCCTCTCACGAAAAACGGCGTATGTTTATTTTGACAGACCAGGTCCTTATTTACTTCTTATCTACAACGCCTCTTTTCAGGTTCTTTGGGATGTCGACAAGGATAGAAAGTTCAAAAATCCTGCAATCCCACCTGGAGGAAACCTTTGTAATGCATTTGAGGTACTTCTAATCTTTGCTTGAGCTAGTAGATAGCAGCTTATATATGAGAAGATGGGATTATATACCCGAATTAACCGAAATCTGTTGTTCATAAAGTACTAAGTCACGACAAGAACTTGCCAATCGTTTGGGCATGATATCACGACTGCTCGTGCAAATCAGCCTTTCTTTTTCAGGGAACTGCAAAACCACCATATTGGCAAAAACATCCTTGCGAAGACGACGGATTTGAGAATGTGGATTTGATTGTTTGGATGCGCACGGCAGCACTTCCAAACTTTCGAAAGTTGTGGAGAATTGTGGATAGGAATGCCGAAACGCCTGCAAATCCAGGTCTCTTCCGAAATGGACTTCCAGCAGGGGAATATACGATTGTTGCGAACTCGAGTGTGTCTTTTTCAACTTAATGTAAATAACATCCTGCAAACATCGTTTAAGACTATCCTGTCACTGTTTTTGGTGGACGGAAATCAATTGTTTTGAGCACAACGAGCTGGGCTGGTGGAAAGAACTCATTCCTCGGTTTGTACTTTGGCTTTTTCTGTTCATCCGAGAACGACTTTCAATAGTTCTTTAGGAATCGCCTATCTAGTTGTGGGATCTCTGGCGATCGTGCTTGGCATCATCTTCATCATTATTCATATCAAATTTGGACACTCGTAAGTTGTTCCGTTAGAAATGGTGTTCGGAGAGTTGTTTGACAAAGCAATTCTAGTATAAGCGAGCTAAGTGACGTTGGAGCAACTCACTAAAATTCTGATCGTCCCAGTTTGTACAGTGTTATACAGTAATGTCCAATTAACACAGTGGATACCAGTGATTTCACCATTTTTGCGCGCATGTATAGTTTGAATGTACCAAAACTCGCTCTTATGTGATGGTTGTGTATTCTGTACCTAGATGGTGAGCGTTCTTTTTCAATGACTCTGATATTGCTATTTAGTTCTTGATGTTCAGTCTATCATTGTTACGTAATTTAAAGACTCATTCTACCCTTGCGCTGTGATACTCTTAACCTTCATTCTTAATAATTCGTTTGATTTGTTCAAATGCCTTGCAACTTGTGATCTTAAATTTGTTAAGAAACGACCTTAATTATAACCTGACTGCTTTACAAATAAAATGTCATTTTTCACCTCTTGGGCGTGTTTATTGTTATTTGAAATGTGTCAGGATAAAGGCTGGCCTTGCCTTTACCTGATGTCTAGCGGGTACTTACATAAGACTAATGTATAAATATTTATTATTTAGTATAAATACAGGGAAAGGGGAAGAGGTTGCAGGGTGCAACCCACGAAGTGGTCGTCAGGGGTCACTGTCCTCCAGCAAAATTTACAGCTTGCCCAGAGAGGAGGGACAGCTGTCATGGAACCGACATCTCCAATCCTTGAGAAGCTCGTCCTCGAGCTCGTGGCATAGTTGAGGTTTCGACTGTTGCAGTTGCAATCGGCGTAGTTGATGTTCTTCCTGGTAACGTGCATTGGCATATGCACATGATATACTGCGAGAACATACAAATTGAAGTGTGAATACATTGAACTTACATAGTAATAATAATAGTGTTTATAATCTTAATATTATAACTTGAGAACTCCGTTTCGTTCCTATCCTTAGGCGGAGTATTGTGCTGTTCCTATGCCATCCCCGGAACTCTTCAGTAAGGAAGGATGTTTGAAATAACTCATCTTTCTACATTAAGTTGATATTAGAGTTTATATTCCAAACATTTAGTTTCAAACATTAATTTGATAATTTTTGTTTAACTAGGTTAATCCCAAATGCTTAGTAAAAAAGATAACTTTTGTTAATTTCTTAAATTTTTTGGAGTTTAGCGGCCTATCTGTGTCTTTTTCATCTTCGAACAATTGTTTTCTTGAACTCCTTGTTTGTCTTCGTTCACTGTGATTTCCACGTTGATCCTTTCTTTCTGGATCCATTGTCTTGATGTAGGAGACCTCCATCGTGATTTTGGTTAATAAATGAGTCTTACCAACGTGTCAGACTTGTTATTGCCATCTTGTATGGATTCAGACATTGTTTCAGTAGAGTATTCCATGTATTGTCCGACCACCTATCTAGGTCCTCGAAAGTTAATGATGATCCGTTTCACCCAATCCGTGATCTACTAGCTCTTTTCGTGCTACGACCACCAGCCTCCGCTGAGTTCATTTCAGAAGGACCTGCAGAATAGTAACGTCCAAAGTGTTGTTCAGAATTATTTTGATAAGTTGCGGTTTGTTAGCCCTTTGTTCTCCGCACGGAGTAAGCCCTTTACAGTAAGCCGCCGAAGAGGCCAGCAAGTACTTGAAGATCGTACTCGAGGTTCTCCTAGAACTCTCAACATGAGTCGTGAACTTGACACAGCTGGAATTCAAGTGGGCAGGATCTTTTCCCATTGTTTCTGCTTTCTGTAGGAATTTTATCGTCACACTATCAATTTTCATTCATAAAGATAGTATAAGGCAGTGGCGTCCGAGGGGGGGGGGGATGAGGAAGGGCCCCCCCCCCCCGAGAACGGATCGCGAAATTTTTGAAAATTACTTAAATGAGTTATAAAAATGTGCAAATGACTTGTTTATTTTTTGTAAACAATTAGGATAATTTTTAAAATTTTTTAAAAATTCAAATTGGCCTTATAAAAAATTTTTTTCGGGAGCGTGGCTAACGCCACGCCCCCTTTTTCCAGATTTTAGGGGTTAGGGGCCCCGCAAAAATTTTGAGAAGCCCTTTAAAAATTTTTTGGAGTGCGTGGCTGAGGCCACGCACCTTCATCTGAAAATTTTTTTTCAGATGAAGGTGCGTGGCCCCCCCCCCCGAGCCGAAATCCTGGGTACGCCACTGGTATAAGGATATGGATCCAGTGGACTGCAAGCAGACACGACCTTCACAGGTATTAGGGTTAGCTAATCCCTTAGCCTTATGTGTAGCGGCTTCACATAAATCTTACTATAATGTTTATTATGAATAGTTATATACAGAAGGGGAAAGAGGAAGGCTACCGGCTAGTGTAGGTGACCGGAGATACTGCCAAAAGTTGGCTGTCTTCGGCCAACCTCCTTCTCGAGCAGCTGTTGTAGCTAGCTGCGTACCGACATCTGTCAGGATGAAGACTGACCTTGTCTTTACCTGATGTGTAGCGGCAAGTATCATAAGATTAATTTACTAATATTTATTACTAGTTGATAGTCCCGGTGTCACCCGGGACCCTTAGTTTAACCAATATGTCATCGGCTCCCATTCGTAAGAGACGGGTTGCAGACTTCCCTGATCTTTAGGATAAACTTGTTAAACCTCTACGTTAAAGCATTAAATTTCATACTTTCTCGTCGAGCTTATCCTTGAAGTCACTGAAGTCCGCAGCCCGCCTCCACACGAATCTGGAAGCCAACATACTTACATTTTCTAACTTCTACATTGCGCGAAAAGCGCTTTGAGACGAACCCGCTGCATCCTCAGCCTTGAGATTAGAATGAACTTTACCGCCCCTGCTTACATGCTTATATATAAAAATGATCGGCTGCCATGATGGCCCTTCATTTTCCTAGGTTTGAGTAAACAAATCAATAAATCGATAGAATGGCTCGGCGAATCGCCGCAAAAAGTAGCTCTAAACCACCGCCGGAGTCGAAAACATATGTGTGCGAAGTTTCAGCCGGATCGGTTAAGTGGCGCGCGTTTCTATAACGAACGAACAACTAAACGAATATTCTCACAGACATTGAGTTTTATATATATATACTAGCTGGTAGCCCCGGTCTCACCCGAGACTTCAAGTTAGTTAAGCCAACAGAACTTGTAAACTTACGCCTTCAGATTTCTTCTAACATGCGCATAAAGCGCTTTCAGACTAATTGCCGCACCCTACTGACTTTAAGACTGAAATGGACTTTACCGCCCCTGCTTAAATGCTTATATGTAAAAATGATCGGTTGCATGATGGCCCTTCATTTTCTTAGGTTTGCGTAAACAAATCAATAAATCGATAGAATGGTCCGGCGAATCGCCGCGGAAAGTAGCTCTAAACCACCGCCGGGGTCGAAAATATACGTGTGCGAAGTTTCAGCCGGATCGGTTCAGTGGCGCGCGTTTCTATAACGAACGAACAACTAAACGAACATCCTCACAGACATTGAGTTTTATATTAGGTTGGTCCGAAAGTTCTGTCCCACCATCTTTGAAAAATCATAACTTCTTCCTAACACAATGCTTTTGCAGGATTAAAATCCTATTAGAAAGAGCAATTCATGCGCTTTCTAAAACTGCCTTGGCTGCTATCTACTAAGCTTTGAATGCAGAGATAAAATTGGGAAAAGAAAACCACTTCAAGTCCGGAATTTTTAAGCAAGCCCGCTAAAAAATTCAAAACTGTGCCATAAAATCCAAAACAGCCACTATCCTAGACTTTTTGACCTTCTCTTTCCAGCTGAGCAAAATTCGCGCTGATCGAGCTGTTAATTCAAAAGTTATGATTTTTTGAAAAAAATGTCAAAAAATCAATTCTCTTAAGAAACTGATTTTTTGGCATTTTTTCCTGAAAATCATAACTTTTCTAGGGAAGCTACATCAGCGCGAATTTTGCTCATATAGAGAGAGGGGGTCAAAAGGTCTAGAATAGTGGCTGTTCTGGATTTTATGGCACAGTTTTGGATTTTTTAGCGGGCTTGTTTAAAAATTCCGGACTTAAAGTGGTTTCCTTTTCCCAATTTTATCTCTGCATTCAGAGCTTAGTAGATAGCAGCCAAGGCAGTTTTAGAAAGCGCATGAATTGCTCTTTCTAATAGGATTTTAATCCTGCAAAAGCATTGTGTTAGGAAGAAGTTATGATTTTTCAAATATGGTGGGACAGAACTTTCGGACCAACCTAATATATTAGGTTGTCCCGAAAGTTCGTTCGCACCATTTTCAAAAAATCATAACTTCTTTGCATCATAACGGTTTTGCGCATTTTAAATTTCCTTAGAAAGCGTAAAGCATGTAGTTTCCAAAGGTCCCCTGATGACTTTCCAGCATGCTCAGATTGCAGAGATAAAAATGAACGAATGAGAACACCCGAAATTCGGAATTTTTGAGCAAAAATTCTAAAAATCTAGAAACTGCGCGATAAAATCCGGAAAAGCCATTGTCATAGTTTTTCTTACATTTGATTACTAAGTGAGTTAAGTTTGTGCTGATCGATCTCTTCTTTCAAAAGTTATGATTTTTTGAAAAAAAAAGGCCGAAAAATCAATTTCTTAAGAATTCTTAGGAAAGTGATTTTTCGGAATTTTTTTTCAAAAAATCATAGCTTTTGAAAGAAGAGCTCGATCAGCACAAACTTAATCCACTTAGTAATCAAATACATGAAAACTTATGATAATGGCTTTTTTGGATTTTATCGCGCTGTTTCTAGATTTTCAGAATTTTTTCTCAAAAATTCCGAATTTCGGATGTTCTCGTTCTTTTATTTTTATCTCTGCAATCTGAACATGCCGAAAGGTCCTCAGGGGACCATTGGAAACTACATGCTTTACGCTTTCTAATAAATTTTGAATTGCGCAAAATAATTGTGAGCGAAGGAAGTTATGATTTTTTGAAAATGGTGCGAACGAATTTTCGGGACAGCCTAATATATATATATATATATATATATATATATATATATATATATATATATATATATATATATATATATATATATATATATATATATATATATATATATATATATATATATATATATATATATATATATATATATATATATATATATATATATATATATATATATATATATATATATATATATATATATATATATATATATATATATATATATATATATATATATATATATATATATATATATATATATATATATATATATATATATATATATATATATATATATATATATATATATATATATATATATATATATATATATATATATATATATATATATATATATATATATATATTAGGTTGAACCGAAAGTTCTGTCGCACCATTTTCAAAACATCATAACTTCTTTCGGTCACGAAGATTTTGCGCAATTCAAATTTTGTCTGAAAGCGTAAAGCATGTAGTTTCCAATAGCTCCCTGGAGAGTTTCCGACATGCTCAGGTTGCAGAGATAAAAATGAAAGAACGAGATCA